GGCCAGCCCGAGGCTGAATCCGACCCCCCCCCATCTCGCTTTCGCCCCTTGCAGCTGGATTTCTGGCTGGCACCCCGCAGCCCCGGGTACCCCGTCGACATCCGCGTGCCTTTCCCCAGCCTGCAGCCCCTCAAAGCCCACCTGGAGGCCAACGGCGTCTTCTACTCCATCATGATCGAGGACGTGCAGGTCAGGGGTGGCGGAGGGGAGGCGGGCGAGACATGGGGTCTCAGCGCGGTGGGGGACGAGGTCTCATCCTGCCCCGTGTCCCCTAGGCACTGGTGGACCACGAGCAGACAGAGATGCTTCGCAGCAGCCGCCGCCAGCTGCCGCTCACCACCAACACCTTTGACTACGCCACCTACCACAGCCTGGATGAGGTGAGAAAGTGCAAGATTCGGGGTATTTTGGGGGGAAAATTGCATGCTGGAATTGCTTGTGCAAAGCCCTTTGCTCCACGTGCAGCAAGGGCAGGGGGTGAGCCAGATGTGACACCCCCCCCCCATCCCTCTCTCCCAGATCTACACCTTCATGGACCTGCTGGTGGCCGAAAACCCCAACCTGGTCAGCAAGCTCGAGATCGGCCGGTCGACAGAGAACCGCCCCCTCTACGTGCTCAAGGTGAGGATTTGGGGTTCGTGGGGTGACCGGAGGGGGGACCAGGGGCAAAGCCAACCTCCCCTCTCTGCTCTTCCAGTTCAGCAAAGGGGGGACAAACCGCCCGGCCATCTGGATCGACACCGGCATCCACTCCCGCGAATGGGTGACACAGGCCAGCGGCGTCTGGTTCGCCAAGAAGGTATGGGCGCCCCCCGGACACGTCTTAACGTCCCCAAAGGGCCACAAGGTCCTGCAGCCACCGCGGATGCCAGGTGGCCAACCCCACAGAGGGGACGGTGATCCAGCAGCGCCAGGGAACCCCAAACCACCATCCTTTCTAGATTGTCCTGGATCATGAGAACGACAAAGGTCTGGCCTCCATCCTGGACAAGATGGACATCTTCCTGGAGATCGTCGTCAACCCAGACGGCTTCGTCTTCACCCAAACCCAGGTAAACGCCCCAGCTTTCCTCTCCCCGCGTCCTACGGCCACAGTGGATGGGGCTGAGGAGCAGGAGCACATGGAGGCCTCTGAAAGCTCAAATCCTCCTTGTCTACATTTCCACGGGGTGGGAAGGGGACCACCGTGACCCGTTAGACACCCCAGATGATAGCCCCCTGTCCGCTGGAGGCTGGTGGAGCTCTGGCCCTGGACACCAGCTGAGACGGCTCTGCCCTTCCAGAACCGCATGTGGCGCAAGACCAGGTCCAGGCACCCGGGCTCCGCTTGCGTCGGTGTGGACCCGAACCGCAACTGGGACGCAGGTTTCGGAGGTCAGAGCTCTCCCCTTCACCCTGCGGGGGAGGCAGGGGGGAGTTGTCCACCCTCCAGGTGGAGGCTCTGAGGCCATTTCTGGCTCAGAAGAATCCACTGATGTCCCCTGGGGCAGAGATGGGATTTGCTCTCCGTGGCAGAGACGTGGGTTTGGGCTCCACCAGGGCTTTGATGTCCCCTAGTGACCAGCATGGTGGAAACCACAAATGAAAGCCATCACACAAACATCTAGGAGGAGCCCCAAGAGCATTTCTCACTGGCCACCAAGCAGCTGAGGGGTGGGAAAAGCTCTTGGGCTTGGAAATGGAAAAGGCCCTTTGCCCTTGTGACTCTCTGAGCCGCCCAACTGACACCAAAGCCACCGAACACCCACACTGTGTTTTCCCTTCTCCACAGGGCCTGGGGCCAGCGGAAACCCCTGCTCGGAGACGTACCACGGACCCTACGCCAACTCGGAGCCCGAGGTGAAGGCCATCGTGGACTTTGTGAAGAACCACGGGAACATCAAGGCTTTCGTCTCCATCCACAGCTACTCCCAGCTCCTGTTCTACCCCTACGGCTACACCAGCACCCCAGTGCCTGACCAGAAGGAACTGGTAGGGCTGACGCGGAGGTTTGAAGGGGGCTGGGATGATACAAGGCTGCTCTCCTCCTCCAAGGAGGCGCAACCTCCATCATACACCGTGGAGGGGGCATTGGCAAGCCGGGAAGAAGTCCTGGCTCTTCTGCCAGCCCCTGGGGACTCCCCCAGGCCAAGACTACTGAGCTTTGGCATCCTTTATGCCCGCGGCACGAGCAAAAAAACCTCTCCTGCAGGCTGTATCCCGCAGTTTCCCCTTCTCTGGCTCATCTTTCTCTCTTCTGTGTATTCCCAGGACCAGATTTCCAAGAAGGCGGTGGCAGCTCTGTCTTCTCTGTACGGCACTAACTACAAGTACGGCAGCATCATCACCACCATCTGTAAGTAAAGGGGGGCAGCAGTGGTTCCCCCCAAATAAACCAAAATCATCACTCACACCTCAGCTTTAGACAAAAGGTCCCATGAAATACCCGTACGACGCAGAGCGACTAACGTTTCGCATCCCTCCCGTCGTTTCCCCACCCCAGATCAAGCGAGCGGAGGAACCATCGACTGGACATACAATCAGGGCATTAAGTACTCCTTCACCTTCGAGCTGCGGGACACGGGGCGCTACGGGTTCCTGCTCCCCGCCAAAGAGATCGTCCCGACCGCCCAGGAGACGTGGCTGGCGCTGAAGGTCATCATGCTACACGCGCGGGACCATCCCTACTAAGCGGGATCGGGGGCCCAGCGGCAGTTGAATTAGCTGGGGGGGGGAAAAAGAAGAACGCAATAAATAAATGTAAAGAAGGATGAGAAATGCCTTTTGTTCTCCTTTTTTCCAAATCACGGTGAAAAGCCTTTTCGGAGACTGACTCAGCGCTCCGGCGGGTGCACGCGGCGGCAGCCAACATAAACAGCGCGCGCTAACCCAGTGGTCCGAAAAGGGGATTGAAAGGGCATGAAAATAGTGGGAACACGAGAGAAAGGAAGGTGCTTGTTTTCCCTCTGCTCTGGCAGAGGATGGAAGGGGAAGAGGTTCAGTCTGACACTTACTGGGCAAGCAGAGACCTCGGACACCACAGCTGTGCCGGCAGGAGGGGTGCCCACCTCCCCCAGCTCTCCCAGGGGCCGGAGCGGCTCTGGGACACGAGGCAATTGGGTTAGCGCGGCTTATCCTGCGTATTTTTGTGGCTGAACACCGACTTGCAGCGCCGGTAGAAAGGTCCCTCCTCGCCCGTTGCAATCCCGTGGGGAGGGGGAGCCAAGCCCCTGCCGACTCCCAGCTTCCGCAGGCGCCGCTCCGCGCTCTCCGTTAGCCGTCAAAGCTCAAACTGAAAAGAAGTACTCAGCCGTACGGTGTCATTTACTTTTTATTAAATTAAATAATTAAAACTCTCAGAGTCTATAGAGTTTGACTCTATCCTCCAAACAATACCAGGAGTCCAAAAACATACAAATCCATCATCAAGATGACGGGGAAAATACATTCGGGTCTTCCTTTGGATGCCCTGGATTTGGAGGATCTCAAACTAGTTTCATTCATCCATTTCAGAAGGAGGTTTTCATGCAGCCCAGAGCAGCCAGGGATTTGGGATCTGTCTCCCACAGCTAGACAGCAAAATCAGGACTTTAAGCCAACACAACGGCCGCTACTCTCACCTCCCTTTTCAGACGGATGCATTTTATACGCTTCCAAGCGCTCACGGAGCTGAAAGATCTCCCACTCGCACAGCGGTGGGACCCTGCGTGCTGTACCGGCCCCCGTCTTTCAAGCACGTAATAAATGGGGCTCTCGGCTCTCACCTCTCCTGCGCACATTCAGCTAAATCAATCGGGTGGTATCATTTTTCAGCCAACGAGCCTAGGCAAGCTACCAACTGAATTATGCAGGAGATGCCGCTTCGTTCAATGCGTTTATTTCAAGCCGACATAAAAATGGGGGTGCTGTACAGAGCAGGAAGGAGCAGCGGACTCAGGACATCAACATCAGGCTACGCAGCTGCGTGAGCCACGTTAGATGTTCAAAGCTAAACGTGGCATTTCGACGACGCTTCAGTACCAAACTCCTTTGAAATCTTTATTTGGCTTTTATTTATTTCATTAGGCCACCTAATAGCATCGCCACTCGGTAACTAAAGCCCCAAGAGGTGAGTCAGCTTCCCAAGGCTGCGAGCGAAGAAGAGTGCGGACAAGAACCAGGTCCCTGCGGCTCCCGCTTTGGGCTCAGATCATTTAAAGAAACGCTTTTCTCTCAAGAAGTGATGCTGCCGTTCCACGGGAAGCCAACCGGTCTGACCTAGGAGGACAAGCTACTTTGTTCGAAATAAACGTGCCTACAACTAAACCACCAAAAACTCTTCCAGAAGCGTGATTGAGTAGGAAGGTAAGAAAGCAGAGCAGTTAGTGAGACGGCGAGATGCATCCAGCTGCCTAAGGATGGGCCGAAATAAAGATCTTTAATTTTTTGATCTTCATACCTGAAGATCTTTAATTTTTTGATCTTCATAGCTGACCAGCCCAACTCTCATAGTACATACGTACACACGCTCCCTACGGAAACCCAGGACACGCGCGATCCTTAGCGGATGGGTTGGAAGGACACTTTGTACAACTCAAAGTGTCCAAGGGCTTCTTTGGGAAGCTGGGAGCTTTAGGTTACGCCCCCCCCCCGCAATCAGATTTTGTTACGCATAAAAATACGGATGCGTATTTGAACACACAGGGGCATTCAGCTCTTTGAAGTACTTTGGTCAATACTTTTTAAATGCTGGCTCTGCCCTACGCCCCTTGATTTCCCCCCTTCTTCTCCCACCGGGGGATCCTTACACAGCATCAGAGGTTTGTGCTGATCACCTCACTCTTCTCTGGAGAGGACTGAGGTTACGGCTCTCATCAGAACAAGACTGCCAGTCCCTGTATCAGCACTCCTCTGATTTAAGACTCATGGAGACACAATAAACGTGAATGTGCTCAGGGATGTTGAGTCTTACACTGCCAAACTGGAAATTACGTGTAATTTTTCTCACCTTGCCCTTTCACCACAATTATCCCCCGATGATCACCACCACTGGTCAATTTTGGGGTCTGTTGAAGATTACTTGTCTACTTCAAAAAGGGGGGGAAAAAAAACCCCACCGAAACCCAGAAAGCCACGCACAAAAACCACAAGACCAAGAAGCCAAAGCTGGACCAAGCTGAGCAATCCTGTAGGTAAAGGCTAGAGAGCAGGATCTCTCCGTAACCACCTACGAGGTCTCTAGTAGGCAACTCTGTCACTGGGTGGTTTCAGACGATTTCTAGGTGACCCAGCCAATGACCGGTATGGTGGAAGCACCGATCTGATGAAAGCCGTGACACTCGTTTTCTACAAAATCTTCATGCCCTGTTCAGTTACCAGATTCATGGTCCCCGCTAGGTTTTAGGGACCCTGGCAAGAGTGCAGAAGAAAATTTCTCTTCAGCCACCCTAACCCTAAAGAAGCTACTCAAAAAACACTGGCAAGGGCGTAACTGGGAATAAGTTTCCAGCCTCTATCAGGCGCTGGAACTGCAGAGCTCTTTGCTGCTCTGCTTCTCTACTGAAGAATACAGTTTGCCTCCAAGCATCACAAAAGCATTTTATGAAGCAAAAATGACATTCTGCCTCCTAACCTCAACTTGCAGCTGCCTGTACGATGGTTAGGGAAGTCAGCCTCGTCAGCAGAAGAGTGACTGGCTCCTCCGCGTACGTCGTAGTTTTCTGCGGCTCCAGTGACCGGCAACGTGCTCTGGCAAGTCGGAAGAGGAGCAAACCACCAGTGCGCAGTGGAACTAAGGAGACGCTCTGCCTGCACGCCAAGAAGAGGGGCACAGCAGATGATTTTGCCCTAAGAAACGTCAGCTAAAACCCTGCTCAGCGCATCTGACAGCCTTACTCTCTCATTTAATATCATTCAGAACCGAAACCACCACACAGCAGCTCTCTGTAACCGCTGCAAGGAACAAAGCAGAAAAAGCACAGTTAGAAGCCAAACCTTCTAGCCAATAAAGGAGAAGACAGGGGAAAAACAGTTGTTTTCTCCTCCAGCTCACCTTTAAAAATACAGAATCGTTTCACAAACTGTCCATGAGTAAACATGACTGTTAGGTTACAGTGCCACGCTGGGCATTATCTCCAAAAAGAACTTTATTACAAATACTTCTGTTCATTAACATAAATTTTTAAAAAACGACTTACGGAATCCTCTCTCCAACATTTTGGAGAGTTGCTGAATGTCTGCATCTCTGCTACAAAACACCAAGGTTTTTGCTCACAGATGATTTCTGGCCCATTTATCTTCACACATGTTCTCCTGTTCGCACAGTCTGCGGTTCCAGGCACAGCACAGAGGGAGTATTTGTTACAGACAAATTCATTCGCCTGAACTACAAGCTTCGCAGAACCGTTTCTACTGGTCACAGGCTTTACTACCGGTTTCCTCCCTCCCCTACAAAAATCAGTTATATCAACTCTGTCCTGACACTGCACCTAAAAGTCAGCCTTGCCACAGCGATACCGTTCCTGCTTCTATGAAACGTCAACCATTCCAGCTCCCCCAGCCTTACCCGAGCTGCCATTTACATACCACCACTGCTTTTCTCTGCAGAGATTCCTAAAACAACAAACCGGCTGCACTGCTCAGGGTTCCCAGAACCTGGATATTCATTTATTCAGAAGACACTGCTGCTTATTTCCATGGCCTGTTCTGGAGGCTGCTCCTGCTGAGCGAGCGGGCAGTGAGGGATCCCACGTTGCCAGCGGTGCTGGGGAGACTGGGGCTGCTCCTCACAGTTGTCACCTTGGAATCGCGGCCTGAAGAACCATGGCTAAGACGGCCTGTGGGAAAAATAAACAAAGATCAGAAGCTGTGTGCGTGACGGAGCACAAGGACACACAAATGATGTGTTGCCCCTCGCTGGCTCTCCAGCTCTCACTGTAAACACATAGACCCATGAATAATTCAGTGTGGGGTTCTGGGCAGTCTCTATCAAGCTGTGCAGGCTTAAGAATTTGAAGAACCTACTAATCACCAGTAAAACATAAAGACATTTAAATATAGTGGGCAGAACGGTATACGCCCGCCCTCAGCAGGCCCAGGATTTTGCCATCGTGTAGCTATGTAAGACTTAAGTCCTCCAGGATCAGCATAGCACGGGTTTTGGTGGATCTTCTCAGTCAGTCTGGAAAAAAAACTCTCACCCTCCCAGCAATCTCATGGAAAGAATATAGCAAAGCAGAGAAGTGCTGCAGGGCAGGCTCAAGAGCTACGGAAAGCAGCTGCAGCATTTGTCCTGGAATCTTACTGGCAGCGTCTGAAGGAATGTGCTCCTCTTCCAGGTAGTACTTTATCTTTTGTAGATCATCTGCAGAAAATCTCCATTTATTCTCAGCACGTGCGGGTGGCACTCTGGGAGAGGTCTTTTTTCGGGCAGATCCGGTGGGAGCTGCCACCTGGCAGGACACAGGGAGCGAGCCGGTGATCAGTCCTTCTGGGATCTTCTGTGCAAGGACCTTCAGGCCTGCAGACGTACAGATCACACGTTATCAGTGACCACCAGCTAAGATGGGATCAGTGATTTTACCAGTCACAAGTAAAACACTTGATGGAGCTGAATATGCCGCTCTTTCTAGCCTCCAGCTCATGCAACCCTCGCTCTCCGCTCTCGATCTACCCACCTAAGATCTCAGGGAGTCCTGCCCATCCCCACTTACCTCCAGATAACATGAACAAGTTCTCAAAGCCCCTCTCACACATGGTTGTCGCAGCCTGGCTGGCTAACCTCTCATCATTGTCATACAAAATGATAATTTTTCCATGTGCGTTTTTCTGATAGGTAGAAGAGCTAAGGATTCATTTGTAAACTTAAGGTGATCGTTAATACCTTTTAGAAAGAAGAAGGGAAACAAACAAATGGGTCTGGAGACTGAGAGACTCCCTGCTTGATTTGTGAGTATCAGGCAGGAATGCCTTCCCTTCACTGGTGCTTTAAAACTGATCTCTCAGTAGCTGGGGCTTGCCAGACGCTGGAAGGACACAGCCTAATCCCCACGGGAGGGCAGCCCCTGCAGCAAGCGTCCACCACTGGTTTGAAGATCGGTTAGTAACAGGCAACAGCAAGAAGCACCTTAATTTACAACCTCCCCTCTCCCCTGCAGCCCTCACAAGCTAACAACCCAGGAAATTATCAGCCTAAGCCTAGCTAATAATCCTCTTCCTGTCCTCCAGAGAAAAGCCAATCCCCACCAAGGTGCTGAGAGGAAGCCAAAGAATTTGATGAACGCATCCCTCAGGAAGCCAAGCGCTCCAGCAACAGCGAGGGACAGGTGCCCAAGTAGCACGGCTTTGCCTTCCAGCAGCCAAAATCCCAGGAAAAGCCAAATTCAGGCAGCTCCCACCAGAGTCAAGAGGTGTTACAGCTTGAGGAACTAGAATCTGGCGTCTGATGGTGGTAGCGGAGCCCCACCAGGTAATCACAGCCAGCGTAAATGACCTCCCCTCCCACCCTCCTTGAAATCCCCAGATTTTGTTGGTTAAGCATTGTCCCGGTCACAGTGACTGCTATAGCTCCAGTTGTTTTTGAAAGCCCCCACCAACATCCCCCCCAATTTCTTTTTTTTTTTTTTTATTCCAGCACTTTAGATGTAAAGGATACATATTCCAGAATACTATTTGTATACGGGTTCATGGTTCTAGACAGCGTTGCAATAGGGTAGGAATAAGCTACAGAGGAGAAAAAAAAAAGAGAAAAATCATACAGTGCCTAAACACCAACCATCACACAACCTGGAATCCAACTGACACAGACTTGTTAGAGTTTAACAAACCCACTGAATAAGGGATTAACATCAGCTCGGTCCCCTCATCCCTTTCCAGGAAAGATGGGTGTACTGGATGAGTGCCCAGAGCATTCTGCACCCAAGTGATGTCCCACCTTGGGGGAAAAGAAATGAAGCCAGCCAGAAGACGACACAAAAAGCTGAGCATACGACCCCAGCCAACACTAGGCTGCTGTGAGATTCTGGCCTCCTCACCTCCAATGATGTGACATTGGTCGTATGCATCTCGGTCTCGTACGTCCAAAAGCAGGAAAGGGCAGTCGGGGTAAGGCATGTCTTTAGCCTGAGCATCCACTTTCTTTGGAGCGTCCTTTTCTATATCCAGTTCACCAACGCCACTTATCACACTGCAAGAGGAAAGAGGAGGTTATGGTGCAAGCTCTCACCCTGAACACTTCCATACCTCTTCACCAGGTCAGAGTGCTTCTCCATCAACTGTTCTAATAGCCCATTTACGTTCCAGGACAGCCAGACACCACATAAAAACGGAGACAGTCTGTTTCAGGCTTTCCCGTACATCATAAGAGACTGATTTCATTTTTATCAATATAAAAAAATAAACAGAGTACAGCCTTGCTACGTAAACATACCATACTCTTCCAGATCAGTCAGGTCCAGGTGTTTTAGGTCCTAAGTGACTTTGAGGTGAGGGAGAATAATTCTAAGAAGCTGCTAACGTGGAGATATCAGCAAGTCAGACACACTAAATAACTGTCAGTCATCTACAGGCAGTGTTACGCAGAGGTTTTCCGTTTCATCACTAGACTGGATACAGGACAGGAACAGAAACCTCCAGATACTCTTAGTGGTCACTAAATTGATGGCTTTGATACACGATGGCCAGGCCTGTCAGGCTAGCATCTCAACTCTTCCATTAACATTTGCACAGGTACAGCAAGGGAAGGGCCGAGACAAAGCTTCCTCTTACAGCGTCTTCCTGGTATCTCTGACCTTGACTAGTGATGTAGTGGATTTGGAAATTGGACTCTCATTCTCAATCACGGGACGATCCGTTAAGATCATCAGGAAGGCACATTACTGGGTTTACCAGAGCAGTTTATAACATGGATTCTTGAACCCAGGGACCTGGATCAAATCCCACAAAAATATTTCCTGGTCAGCCATTTAGACAATCGTCAGGTGGCAACAGCGTTGGGTTACAGCCTCAAGCCAAACTCATTCAGACAGGAAAACCTGCCAACACTCTCTCTCGCTCGCATCCCCGGACCTGCAAAATCAGGCTTTAATGAGAAATACAATATAAAGCCACCTAGTAGCAATTTAAAATAACTAGCTGGATAAAAATAATTATGTGCTAAGACAGGAAGATAATTGTGTATTATTATCAGGCACCTTTGCAGCGTGGACCGATAGGATTCCCCAGCTCCCGTGTTGTTTATGAACAGGACTGGACTAGGTGTCCCATCGGGGCTTCCTTTCCCATTTGTCCCTGCCGTGAGTTCAGCATCTGCATCTGGAGCAGCAGAATCATCATCTGGGGAGAGAACAGGATATGAAGAATTAAAATCCTGCAGGAAATAAACAAACAGGTTTTAAGCCCAGCTTCTATTCTTAGAAGAAAGCGCGTCTCTTAAAGACAGCCTTATCTTCATCCTCTTCTAAGAATGACTTACCGAGAGCCTCATATTAAAAATAATAGCCATATGATTTTTAAGGCCTCAAGATCTCATTTTAAGAATTCAATAAAAACGTAATTCTTGCTGCACGATATCTACTGAGTTACTACAATAAACTTGGCAGCACGTGGCCTTTCTTATTTGCAAGTCTTTCTGTTTTAGGAGCGACGCATCCCAAAGTGGAATGGCTGCAGGCCACAGGTGAAGTTATTTTTTTCTCCCCGATTAAAGGACTTGCTGAGTAGTCAGCTATGTCTGTCAGGACACAGTTCATCATGTGACAGCGATCTACAGCTCTTTCTCTTTGTGCTTACAATAAATATTGTTACCTTCCAGCTTGCGGATCTCCTCATTTGTCACTTCTAAGGTTTCATCAGATAGAGAGGCAACCTGGATGACCTGCAGGAAACAAAAGCAAGCAACGATACCTTGATAGGCATGCACCGGCGTCAGTGAAAGACAGCGGGGATCAGCTTAAGGAAAAACAATCCCCAAGCCAAAACACATTTAATTCAATGCAACATCTACCGGACTTCAAGGTCACATATAGGTGCATATATGATGCCTGTACTGCAAGTGTGTCCTCTCATTAAACGAAAGTTGTAGCAAAAAAAAGAATGCTCAACCTTAGAATAAAGAAAAGCTAGGTACGCTGTGCTGACAATATTAAATACCAGAATGTTTTCTGACTTTTATGAAGTTCAGTCACTGAAACATTTCAGTACATACACTACGTTGGATAAAATTGCACATGGTTAATCGGCCTGAGGGAGCAGACCTGAGATATTCACATACTAAATCAGTTCACCACACCAGTGAGTCACAGGATCGGTCTTAACAATCCAGGAGAACTAAAGATACGATTCTGCAGAAACCCACTCCTTTAATAACTGCAAGCTTAGCCTTCCCTTTCCTCCTCTCCTTAGAAGAAAGCTTGTCTTTTTCTAGTTTTTACTAATTTTCTTGAGCCAACATATAAGCAAGACACAGCTCTTTATTTACTAATCAGATTTTCCACTTTTTAGTATTTTGATTCATTACTTTTTAATAAAAAAAAAAAATCCAGAAAGCCTTGAAGTCGCAACCTTCCCATCTTCTGCAGTTAAACCCGCTATTAGGGAGGGCTTCAGGCTGTGACTACTTGACACAAAGCTCGATGAGATCAGATTTGAAGACTACTTTACATAGCCCTTTTCCTTTTGTAAGAGGCTTGAAGATCCTCTTAAGTTAATGGCAAAAAAAAAAAAAAGGAACAAATTTCAAAGACAGAGTCACTACAAACTTCAATTTGCAACTCTAAGGATTTGACCACTCTGAAAACATTGGCCTAGTTTGCTTTTATTAAGGGAAATCTATGAGGGCAGGAAGAAGCCAGTGCAGAAGAATTACACACTAAGTCTATATAACTGCATAAAAGGCTTTAGACAAAGCAAAAATCCCGTTCACAAAAGATAACAGCTTTCAGAGGCCAGAGAGGGAACTATACATACCAACTGGGCAAAAGTAGTCACTTTCAGTCTTTTAAACAGCTCATCCTTTTTATATCTGTAATCTTCAAAAACAAAACAGAAGAGGACAATGTAAATTTTCAGTTAATTCCCAGCTTTTGCAAATACCAGGCGATAGGCTTAGTCCCAGCTATTCTCGTAGACTCTCTTCTCCAACAAGGCAGGATTTCTGGGCACTAAGCTTAACGCTGAAGGATCGGAGCAGCAAACCTGAAGGCTTTGTGAAAAGTAGTATCAGTTATAAAGAGAGATCTTGCCCAGATACGATTAAAGTGGAGAAGGCAGCTTTAGTTGCTTTTAGACTTCAATCTGTATTACTTTGTGTTCTCTGTTCTTGCTGGGGGAAGGAAGCAGTTTCATGAATCTATCACCTTGCCTGCTGTTCTTTGGAGCCTGCTACGGTCGCAAAGCCTCTTAAACCAAAAGATCTAACTCACCCGAGTTTTTAATTTGTGTAAGTTACAGCAGAATCAGAGCATAGGGGCACTGTATCTCAGACTATGTCTTTTCAAATACTAAGCTAAACGTGTATGTTTAATCTTACTGATTAAAATGCTCCAGGTTTTCTTACTTTATCTGACAATTACATTCCGATTCCTACAATTTGCTAATATGGATATTTAAAGAAATGGATAACTGACAGAAGGTGTTTAATGCAGAAAACTGAACGGCAGATCGGCACGGATACCAGCTTGAAGCACACGTAATTGCTACACAGAAACTGGATTAACTGAGTCTTAAGCCTGAAGACAAAGCTTAGGCAGCAAGAAAACCAAGCGGTCTGTTGGAACGACTGGCAAACAACCAGAGCAGAGATTAACAGTGCTAACTAAGCGATGACAAGGATGGAAGTCTGATTGCACACAGATACTCAAGATGCGTAAACACTAGGAAGAGAGAAGCCTTCTAGTGTGAAACAAAAAGGTGTACGTAGTAGGAAAGAGAAGCTAAGATGAGTATCAGTAGGAACATCTTGATATGAAATAGCCTCCCACAGGAAGTAATGGAAGCCTTGTCCTTTGGGAAAGTTATAGCTGGAAAGGAGACAGCAGAGGAGGGGGAAGAAGAAAAAAAAAAAGAAAAAGAAAAAAAAAAGATCAATCCTGCACTGGCAGGGAAAGGCAAAGAAGATGGAACAAAATTCCTCCCATGTTGGGCACTGCAGCTGTAATAGAGTTCTGCATGCAGCTCTTGAAGCCATGCTCTAATGAATCTAAGCTCTCTCAAAAAACAGAATTGCTCCTCCTTTCTTTTCTTTTCCTCCTTTCCTTACTAGGCTCCATCTCTGAAGTCACAGATTTTTATTTAAAAAAAAAAGAAAAATCCTTTGCATTTCTCTAACAATTTGAGTAACTGTTGGGAAGATATTGCAAACCGGTCTCTCTCCAGCTGTTCAGCTAAGAGGGCTAACAACAGAGAACAGGACCTTTATCAAATCCAGCCAGTTAAGCAATTCTAAATCCTCTAAAACCATCTGCTGAATGCTCCACAGCTTAAGCAAGGGAAGATGGGGGAGAAGGGGGAAGGGCTCCAATCCATATTCCTGTAACCACCACACAAAAAACTACCACAAAATTAGCTTATGGAAACCCTCAAGCTGACATGTGTTTAGAGAAGGAGCCACGCGAACGCCGGAGGCTGAGATCTCTTCCCAATACAAGCGGTGATCACGCGCTTCCTGACAAGACATTCTGTTTGGACAAGATTCTCCCTGTACACAGCCAACGGGCACGTTACGGTAGCAGAACAGGCACAAAAAGAGAAGTTGTGAGCTTTCACCTCTGGGTTTTTTTTTTTATTCCTATCCTTTCCTCTTAAATATACTTCTTGAAGAGGTAGGCAAATTAATTTTCAGCATTCAGAGCAAGCAGAGTTCCCAAATTCAACATCCTACCCCACATAATTTTTATTAGGCTGCAAAGCAATGTCTACTTGCTACTAAACAACTTGTCTTAGAAACGAGGAGCCCATCCAAAATAACCCAGTGCACTGCGGTTTACACTACAGCTTTCAAACCACGGGTCTGAAGTATAAACTGCGCCTAAACTAGATTTCAGAATGTCAGTTAACTAGAAAATTACCCTTGCAGTTCTTGCAAAACCACCTGGTTTCAAGCCTCAAGCTCAGGTTGCTAAAGCCTCCCTTTATAACTCAGAAATAACAGCAACAATTATCTTCTATACAGCACATTTCACCTGCCCGACACAAAACCCACGTGTAGCCCACGTCCAAACGATTAAAACTCCCCAGCCATGGACAAAAAGAGCCCTTCAGTCATGTGAAGAGCAAGAAATTTAATTTAGAAAGACAAATAAAAGCAGCAAAGCTTATGAAGCGCTGGATGTATATATAAACACTGTCAAAGCAGAACTGTTGTCACAGTGCTTATACAATACGGCTGCTGGATGGTTTCCTCCCACCTCAAGCAAGGATTATTTACTCCAGAACAAGCCTTTATGACCTAGATCTTGCCTTTACCACCCAAAGTTATTTCTATCAACAAGAAAAACCAGAACAAAGCTGTTGTTATCACAAAGCCAGACCTGGAGCAAACCAATCTGAGTGCTCGCGCGAGCCTCCCAGCAGTTATCAGAAAGTTCAGAAGAAGTGCTGCTTCTAACCACAAAAGCAGCACGACGTACCCGGTCCTGTCCTGGAAGGTCCATTCGAATTTTCTGACATTTTTTCGCTTCAGTGAACCGGTCTGAAGCTGTAATTATTGTCTATTCAAGGATGTGCTCCTCGGCGCTTCGGAAATGAGTGAAGCGACACCAGAGAAAGGGAGGAGACTTGGTGTCTCTCCTCAAGTCAGTCCTCCAAAGGACAAATCATCGTGGTTCCAGCTCTCTTATCATTTTTGATTCCACGGCAGGCCCACGCTATTAAGTCCCACTCTCTCACATTACACAAGAGACAGAGAGTTGCCTGTACTGGGTATTTACAGTTGTGTCCAAACGGTGTCATCTATCCATGAGAAATCAAGAGGGAGAAGTTTCTAAACTGCCTGGGAACACAAGGTGCCTATTCAGCCCAAATATAATGACAAAGTTTCTACTGGACTCCAGACCCACGATGAAACAAAAGAACTCCTGCACGAAACGAAATCAGATTCACAGCAGAGATTGAAAACCAACTAGACCCATACAACAAGATTTTCAGCAGAGATAAAAAGCGATGGCAATCCAGAATTAAACACTGAAATCTTAGTCAGTCAACACGGGATTTTGGAAAGCAAGGTCATTTCTCTCTTGATTTTCCCCAAAGACCCGTGGTGTTTAAAAAAAACAAAACAAAACAACAAACCAGCAACAAAGGACCATTTTGCACGAAGCCGAGCACAAATACATTTATGTGACAGATTATATATAATCTGAATGTTACCATCTTAGAGGAACACAGTAAGTGAGTCTACAAACCAGACCTGAACATTCAAAATCCCAATTAATCCTCATTAATGGGGACGATTTTTCTTTCACATCAATAAACGCAGCTTTTGGGTTTAATAGCTTTCCTGGCTCTCTATGTGAAAATAATCCAGACAGTAGCTGAAAATAAAGTAGTAAAACATTAGCTTTATTAGTAAGGAATTTTTAAAAAGCCTATTTTCAGGGGGGAAACAGACTGAAATAAAAATCAGTTAGGCTTTCATTAGCCTGAACGACCCAAAGTCTTCAAAACATCAACGTTGTTCTGGTAAACAACGTTATTCTGGTAAAATCAATGAGTTACGCAGGAACGAGCTTGTCCCTTTCCTGTCTTGGAGTATTCTAATAGAATTCTAAGTACGCTACAATTGTACAAAAGTAAAAGATCTCAAGCTCAATTATTTTGTTACCTAAAAGTGAAATAAAGTCTCTGAAGTGCAGTCTGAGTCTTCCCAGATGAGTCTAGTCTAGTTTTCTTAAGCCAGAGAACTTCTTCCTGCCTGGTTTCCGTTCAATAACAAAATTTGCACAAAGAAGGATCTGGAAAGACTCCTAGACCTGCCTGCCTGGTATCTTAAGTTAAATCTGTAAAGCACTGTGAGAGAGAGAGAAATAAGGCGCAGGACAAAGTGGAACGTGCCCAGCAAAGAATCAAGGCAGAAGCATCTTTCCAGCCTACAGCTGCGTGTTTCTACAGTTCGTTCCTCTAAGTGGCTGTGGGAATCAGCGGAGTGGAGATTTCCAAGCAAATGGAGGGCCTGGGATTCAAACCAGCTCCTCGATGCTCTTTCAGTTTTGAACTAACCCACTGCAAGTTACATTCTGCTCCTGTCCAGGTACTCACTTCTTTTGATCTCTTCCAACTTCTCAGTGTATTTTGTTAAACTGTTTCCTGTAACAACAACAAAAAACCCAATCAGTTTGTTACAGTTTTTTTATTAGTGGTTTTCTTCAGCGCTATTAAGCCTTAAATTTTTTTGGAAGGAAAAAGATCAGACTATGATAACAAGCGTTCGTTCTAGATCCTCTTTCCCTGTGACAATACAAGGCAGCCATAAATCAAGTACCACCACGATTTTCCTCTTGGCGCTTTTCTCTCGCAAGGAAGGCCAAGCTAAATAGCCAAGTCAGTCGAAGGACTTGCTGGACACCAGCTGCCAACAGTCTCTAGGAACAGGCAGCGCTCCGTAGCTTAAAGCCTCTGGACTGGAGAGGGGAAGTCACTGTGAACGTTCGTGACCAGAAGGAGCTCAAGTCTTCTGCGTATACTCCCAGCACTATTTCAGTTCTTCTACAGAACGCACCCGAGTTTTATTTTACAGGATTTTCAGTAAAGGGTACAAAAGTACCCACACCCTGCTAGTCAGAACAGCGATACTTGCAAAAAAACCAGCCTCGTAGCACCCTTCCCATTTACAAGTTCCACACCAAGCTCCCTCTACTCAGAAGCGTAAGTTCTTTTGACGATGGTTTGGAGAACAAAGTCATCGCCTTCAGAAAATCACTACCTAAAACTCAGTACATTACAGGCCTCTCTCTAAGGGAGCTAAAGTCGGGACCTTGGTATTCGAAAACCTGCCTCCGGCACACTGCTTCAAGCAGAACCGCGGCCACACCGTCCCTTCCCTAACATTTTTGTGTGGATACTATAGGCAGGTGTTACCGGATAAAATTAAACCGCTTTTAACAACAAAAAATCCCCAAAGACACCCCCCAAATAATTACCTTGACTCACACCCCTGTCAAGGTACTAGTTTATACAAAAAAAGCCCACATACAGAAACTCCAAGACCAGTAATTTCTACAGGAACTGTCACAACAGAGCCTGACATCATAGGCTGAGACACATCATAATCGCGATGCAAGTGCCGACATAGCTGCACAGTGTTTGGGGTAAAGCAGCTCAGGACAGAGGCAGTTAAGACATTCGACATACGTATTTTTGTATACTCCTATATCCGCGTTTGGCGTTTTTACCCTACAACGATTTCACTTACCAGTATTGAGGCGGGTTTTTATATGTTGGTATCTGGGATTCTGAGGGATGCGCCTGGTTAAATACTGTTTTAAAAAGGAAAAGATAAGAGGAAGTCAATACACAGCCATGTATTTGTTTCAAAGGCAAAAACCGCTAACAGAAAAGGCGATTTAAGAGCTCCAAGAGACAGCAAAAAGAGCAGCGAGACCGCAGCCACCCTCTCAGGCAGAAGGACAGGCCTCTGAATCTCCGACCCGCT